CTGATTTCAAAAAAATTGTGGAAAAGTGTGATAGGGTACATTTATACCATTAAAGTAACTCTAAAACTAAATGTGCCAGCATAGTTATGAAATTAGCACAAAAAAATAGTTGAAGTCAGTGGCGCACACAAGGTGGTGGTGGTGTGTGTGGGAGGGGGTCCCGGGTCCGGACCCCATCCCAAAGCTCTTGGTTTTTTTTCGATTGATTATAGTCCTATATATGTAGTACGTAAAACTTATAAAAGTATTTGTTATTAATAATTAATTTTATTAATTAATGTTAATTAGTCATTCAAAAATTAATTTTTTACTGTTTTTTAGTTCCCGAAAATCGACAAAATCAAAAGAATATGTTGGGCATTATATCGGTGTATGATACGAGAATTGTAGACTTTCCGACCTGGGATCCCCCCCCCCCTGAAAAATTCCACTAATGAATGCAATCATTTTAAAAAATCCACTATGTGACCATTGAGCCTAAACAATTGTCCACCCCTGTTCTACATCAATATTATCGCACACGATATAAAATGAACTACTGTTGACAAGTCTCATAATTTCGATTGGTAGGTTAGTTAAAATTTTCAAATGTTCTAAAATAGCAATGGGTTTTGTGATGGACATCATATCTAGAAACTTAGATCCACAGATAAAGAGACACCCGAATCGGTATCTAATTCTCTTCATTTCTACACCAAAATTCATGAAGACTTCTTGACATGGTTTTATATAACGTGTAATGGACTCTGTTGTAAATTAAGTATTGATTGTATAGATGGCGCTGAAGGTCATCCGAGAGATGTGCACTTTGTTTGGCTTGTAAAAAGTCAGAGTTATGTAATATTCTTTGTGCTGTGTACTTGTCTTCTGTGTTGTCTACGAAATAAACAAAAATGACAAAAGATGGACTGAATTTTTGAATTGAGAATGAAAGATACAATAGAAATATAATCATCGAACTGACCAAGGAATTAGTTGTTGTTGTCGTGTCCTTCCCGCAGGGAAGGAATGAAAGTTGCCATTGCCTGTGAGACAGGTTGGACCTCTTAACGATAGATGGCGACACCACCTATCTCCACCTCCACAATTTTGGCATGGAACTGAAGAGGAGGGAAATATTCTCCAGCCCCCTGCACTCGTGGTTTCTGCTGCGACCGCCCACAAGACTTTCGGACCCACTGATTTAACGAGCACGTACTCTATCTATACTAGGTGGCATTTAGTATCATCGGGCATCGAATCCAGGCCCTCCGGTCTGGAGTCCGCTGCTCTAACCACTAGGCTACCCACGGCCCCAAGGAATTATAGTTACTTAAGAAATATAATAGACTCTATTATTCCACATGACTGACTTGGTTTGAATGGGTTAAATTCAGGTGACATCGAAGACATGTGATACCTGCAATCAAAGGTTTCCAGCCAATAACTTCATACGCTTCGCTGTTGCTAACTTTTACTTGCTACACAAAAACTTTCATTTAAAAGTTACATATTCATCAACAAAAATAAAGCAAATAGGAAAACATAATGTGTACTTGATTTAAAAATACAAGTATAATATCAGATTTATTTTTGACATTGAACAACTTTTTAAAGAATCTTAATACTAGAAGATCTTTACCAAATTTTCAAATCTGAAATTCTGCCAAAATTTTACAAAAAGAACAAGTACAAGACTAATGTCAGTTTTGAATTTCATGGAGAACACTTGATTGCATTTATCATGCAACGGCCATGAATTAAGCACATTAAGATACAATTTGCGATTCGATTCAAACGTCGTCTCTCAGCCTTGATCAATGAGACCGTAATCACAGAGGAACCATGGTTTTTAACTATAAATAGAACCAGATTACAAGGATTACTTTTTTATCCAACCAATTGAGATACCTAGCTTTATCATCCAAATTTTCACAAAAAAGATAGTATTTAGAACTTTAGTCTCCCTTAACTTGACGCATCTTTCATAATTCCAGACGACGCTTGAATTGAAATCGAGACTCCAACCTGACATTCTGCTTCGAATCCGAATAGTGCCCGCGTTAGCTTAGTTGTCATGGTCACAATTTCATGGCCAGAGTGTCACAAGTTTGAGCCTAGTGATACTGAAGACCCGCCGTGTTGAGAACCTAATGCAACATCGAGTCTAAATATCTTCCCATAGGCAGGTGGAAATTTGAAGATGGGGGTGCCAGCTCAGGTGTCGTCCTTATCGCATGACCACGATTCAAAATTACGAGGTCCATCCCTAATAGCCTTTGTGTTGTTTTACAGGGCAAGGTTAATATGCACAGATTCTACTTCGCAAAAGGATCCCTTTAGCTCCCAAAAGATTGTCGGAGATTAGAACCCGCGACGCTCGGATCCGAAGCCTAGTAACATGACCATCAGACAGAAGTGATCACTCCTGTGCGGAGGCTGTTATTGGATTGTTTAGATACCACCATAGTACTGCCCCACCAGTGAGTCGGTGGATAGACGAACGAACGGGATATTTGTTGTTATGGCGAGCGTGGGAGTTGTTACTATTGCGTCAAGTGAGTCTGACGACTTTGCTTGCTGCGTCGAGTGGGTCTGGCGACTTTGCTTGCTCTTCTTGCGGATAGATGGCACCACGACATATCAGAAGGTTTTGCGTTTTTCTTTTCAGCCATGGTCACCAATGTCGGAGATTAGAACCCGCGACGCTCGGATCCGAAGCCTAGTAACATGACTATTAGACAGCAGTGATCACTCCTGTCCGGAGAGGCTGTTACTGGCTTATTTAGATACCGCCACAAGATTAATGATTTTAGTATATCAACTTTTGGCGTAGATAGTTCTAAGTGGGCCCTGTATCAAAATTCTTTGGGGACATTCTTTTTTATCCCTCTTTTGGATAAAAAAAAATGATCATAAAAAAATTTATTTGCAAATGTCAAAATGTTACACATGTTGGGGGCCCCTATAACTTGGGGGCACCGTATCATTGAAACGGCGGTAGCTACGCCCCTGTAAATCAGGGTAGTGGAAAAAGATTCAAGATTATTTCCGATCTCAATTAGAATTTTATAAAAGTATAGAAGTAGTAGTTCCCTCCTCTTTTTCTGTTTGGTTCTAAAATTATAATATGGAGGGTGAAAAAAGGAACAGTGCAATGCACCAGGGGTGTAGCTGCCACTGTATCAATGATACGGGGCCCCCAAGCTACAGGGGCCCCAACATGTATTACGACAGAACCACTTACAGGATTTCCATATCTTAAAAGAGTGCCCCAAAGAAATTTTGATACAGGGCCCCCTCAGAGCTAACTACGCCAGTGCAATGCACTTCAGTTATTTTCCGTAAAATTCATCGAATTTCGAAACAAACTTAGGTCATGTTTAAAATGAAAATGTTTTTGAATTATGCCAAGTATTTGCATGGAAAGGAAGTTATTTGCTCCAGCAGTTTAATAGGCCTAACAAGGAAGTATAAAATTCATTAAATTCTAGATTTTTTTCAAGGTTGGATCAGGATGGAATCTTTTTTCCCCATGTAAATTCCTCATGACGCAGCCGAAGGGGGGGAAAATTGAAATAAATTCTATTTTAATGTTTTTGAGCTCGCTTAAAGAATGTTCTAGATGATTTTAGTGAACATCAAGCGAATGAATACATTTCAATACATTAATTATTTGGCACTCAAAATGCAACACAAAACGAAGCAAAATAGAACAACTTTTGTACTAAGCTTACAATGATTACCAAATTATCCATAAAATCAGTATATTTCAGAAAGCTGAATATTTTACTCCATACACTTGAAATATCGTATAATCAGACATATTACGCGTACCTATACTTTCAAATTGCCATTTTTCATTTTTAGGTGGATTCACCGTTTAAACTTTTTTTATGAAGAAACCTGCAATGCTGATGAAATCTGAGAGTGGATAATTAAAGAGCACGAAACCAGAGGGGTAGCTGCCACCATACCAGTGATACGGGGTCAACTCAGGACTAGTCACCGTCAGTACATGAAACTAAACTCAGTGGCACAACAGTCCATGAGGGTCAAGGTCTACTATGTCCATCTTAGTTTTTGTGACCTTGGACGCTGAGGTGCATGAATAGAAGTTTCTATTAGGTGGTTCGTCTGACGCGAAATCCCCAGTGTTTAGTGCCCACGCAAGCTTGGTACTCATTTATCGACCCACTGAAGGGACGAAAGGCTGAGTTAACCATGTCTAGCCTGGGATTTGAACCACGGACCTGTGGCGTGGGAGCGCGATACGCTGCCACTCAGCCACTGGGCTTTCTGACTTAATAAAATGATCATTAAAAAATTATAGTATATCTAACAATCAAGATGGAGTAGAAGATGATTATTAATATGAATCACAGTAACTGTGATGGTTAAAACATAGAGAATTCAGTGATGTGCCTGAAGATATAACAGAAGACAAATTTTAATTTTTATCCTATTATGAAAGTTCATAAAATATCATTTCTTTTATTTCATCTACTTTTTTTTTCATATGCTCATCTTTTCTTTACTTTTAAAGGTATCATTTTTATATTCTGCGTTTTAAGCGTATTTATACATTGTTATCTTATTTTTTTTTCAAAGTGCCGAGTTTTTTTGGTATATATACAGAAAACTCCATTTCTGATTATGTTCAAAATAATTCAAAAAATAATTTATTCGGAAACAATTACATAAACTCCATACAATCATAAATAAAAGGGGGGGGGAATGGCTCCAGTATGCGTCTTAATATATTAAGCCAATCTTTAATTCCTACTATTAGTTCACACTTTCCCTATATATATATTTATTTATATATCTTGTTAAAATTTTCAATCGTTTATAAAATACTTTGTATTCATTCATTCAAGTTCAAATACATTTTTTAAAACTTGTAGTGGATGACACTTGATGTTAATACAGTTTTTTCAAATATTAATTCATTAATTAAATTAAAAAACAATAACAAACAAAAAATAATAGTCCAACAGCATATATAGAAAGGAAAATTGTTCATTGTGTCCCTGTAGCGCAATGGATAGCGCGTTGGACTTCAAATCCAAAGTCCGAATCCCACATGAAATTACCTAATTTCTGAGAATGGGATTTCTTTTTTACTATACTATTTTATTAGAATAATTAAATTTTGTGAATGAATAAATAGTAACAAACAAACAAAAAAATAGTACAACACCACATATAGAAAGGAAAACGGGAAATTGCAAGAACAAATTTTGAAAAAGGGAGTTTTAATGTCCTAGTTAAAGAAATCACTCACATCGCGCATACACACACATAAGTGCTATCGTCCTGAGGGAAACAGGAAATCCTCATGGGGATGAAGTTATTCACTGGTAAAAGCCCGTGCAACGCCGGGCTAAGCGGAGAGGAAAGAAACAAAGTAAAAGTAATTTCGAGAAATAATATTGGAAGCGCTGATTTTGTGAAGAGAAGCGTAAATGTTAAACGAGAAAGCCATGACACGCACTCATGGGCCATACACTCACATCGTACGCGCCACACCCACACAAAAGTGCTGGCGTCAGAAAGAAAGGAGGAAATTAACATGGGGATTAAGTTATACCCTCGGTAAAAGCCCGTGCAACGCCGGGCCGGGTCAGCTAGTATATATATATATATATATATATTACTTATCCTAACTATGCTTTTAAACTTATGAAGACTGGTACAGAAATTAAAGATGTTTACGAATAATAAATAATAAGGTTAATAATATATGATCCATTGGGCACAAATTATGTATAAAAATTATTTCATTCCAGAATTTTAGTAGCTTTGCTTGAAAATAAAGGAAATAAATCCATCCACAGTCATAGAAACGAACCACAAAAAGTATGCAAAATAATAGCTATTAAAGGCAAAATTAAACCTTTCAAAAACTCACAAGCAAACCTTAAAATAACACCAAATTGGCGAAAACGGAAAAATGATTGCAAATCGAAGTTAAACCTAAAATTGCATCTCAAATTCAGTTGGAACTGAAATGAGCTTCCGTTTAGAAATGAACAATTTATGCGGTAATAATATCATCATTCGGTACATTCGAGACAGCTTTACCTTGAATCTGAAGACCAATAATATACAAGACTAATAAACTGAACAATGTACATATATTATTATTAAAACACACACAAATTTGCTTTACTCAAGATTTAACAACTTATTGCACAATTTCAAGGTTTGTGTATCTGATTTTTCATAAATAATATAGTACACCAAATAATAAATAAGTAAATAGATATAATTGTAAGTGGCGTTGACATAAATTTCTTCTCAAAACGATACGATACAAAAATAATTTTTTTTACCACGTAAAAAAGCTTTCAATAATAGTCTTGAATACAATTTTTGGAACGGGTAGGGAATCAAAAGTTTTAAAACATTTAATTTTGTGAGCGTGTTTTTAATCCTATATATAGAAACGCAATGTTCGTCTCGCAGTCAAAAAATAAGCTATTGTGTGTGAATAATCTCTCTCTCTCTATATATATATAAATGGTTGTTTGTATATATGTGAAATCGCTTCACTCCAACACCGTTCAACCGATCACTATGAAAAATGGCATGCATAAGTAATTTTTTTGTAGAGAAGGTTTTTGTGCTATCCTCTTTGTTACAGCTCCCGACAGGTGGCGCTACAGCAAAGAAACTTCTGCACTGTTCAATCAATCACAAATTTGCCAACATGGTCACCAAAAATAACGCCAACTTGGTTCTATCACCAACATTTCACTATGTTTCCATTGAAACGCCATTATAATGTAAGGAACGGTGTTGCTTGCGAATATTATAATTTTAATATAAATAAATACAACAGAAGGTAATACAACGTATTACACATCCAAATATAAATTATTTACACTATTTTAAGCGTTCATTACACAAAAGTTGTATAAATGTGTTACTTTTGCTGAGCAGAGATCAGCTTAGGAAGGTGTTTTCAAAAATCGAGTCACAAGAGAGTTACGGATCGTTATAAATAAAAAAAAAAAAAATCCTTTTTATCAGCTATTAGACCTTCAGACTTAAAATTTAACAAATATGGTTTTTTCCCCGTTCAGCTGAGATATGGAGAAAAGCTTTTTTTTTTTTTTAAATTTACAATTCCCGTACAATTAACTCATTAAAAACTTATTTATCCTTCAATCTTTATTGTTTCATTTTTCAATTCACTCTTGCCGAAGTACGGCTGTACCAGCTAGTGCTATATATACATACGTAATGTATATGCATAATTTTTAATAAACTCTACTTGAGAGAATGAAATGACTTTCAATATTAAAAAGAAAAATAGCATTCAAATTTTGGAAACTTCAAAAGATGTACTCTGTAGGGTTACAAACAATGCTGACTGACAACACCTTTTAACTTTACGAAAAATTGGGGCCAGTGTCGGATAAAACGACATGGAGGCCCCTAGGCAGTCGAATTCTTGGGGCCCTGCAGCCTTATAATTTTATTACTCAAAATTTTGGAATTTATATTATTGCACAAATAAGATAACAAATTATCATCAAATTAAAAAATATAAATAAATAATTATTATTTATTAGAATCTGTAATAAAAAATAAACTCTCCTGTAACAAAAAGGAGCCCCTAAAAAGCGCGGAACCCATAGTCAATTGCATACTCTGCCGAATGAGTAATCTGGCACTGAGCGGTTCTTATAACCAGTTTTAAGACTACCCAACCTTCTGCTTTTCTTGGGAGAAAATCCTCTTTTTTTTTGTTAGGAGAAGACTCGGCGAAATCCTATAAAATGTAATGGATAAAGTTCGAAGTATATATATATTACGATATACAATCGCGCGCGTAATTAATTACTTTGTAGAAACAATATTTTTAATTTAAGCTCCAGATGACAAAATTTGCATTTTTCACGAAGGAGTCTACCAACTTCACAAGTAAAATACAATTTTAAATATTAAATAATGAGTTAAAATCAATTTGTGAAAGAAAAACAGCAAATAATGAAGCTTTTAGTCCTTTTAATAGACACATTGCGTTAAAACAGCCTGAACGATTGTATCCTACAGCAAAGGTGTCAAACTCGCAGCCCGCAACGTATATTTTTGCGGCCCAGCCAATATATTGGCACACAATAATGTTTAATAAAATTGCAAACCGATGCAGAATAAAAATAAGATACGTAGAATGCGTTAAATTTTTTAAAATAAAACTTTTTTTTGTTGTTGTTGCTATTATTAAACAAAATGCGTACATTTATTTAGAATATATTTAATATTTTTTTGTTTGAAAATTAAAAACATGCGGCCCTTAATATAAAATAGAACTTGCGACACGTAATATCACACGAGTTTGACAAGCCTGCCCTACAGTGTAAAATTAAACAAAATTATTTTAACAAAAACTGCAGCACAAGATAATAAAATACTTATTTGGAATAACAAATAGGAGAGATCAATTAAGATATAAGGAAGAGAAAATATATATATGGCTATAAATTGTCCTAGACTTAGATATGAAATTGAAATTCATATGCCAGATATGGTACACGCATATTAATTGAAAATCTTTCAGAATACGTAAAAAAAACCATGAATGGTTATAATTATCGCAGCGTGTGTCCCTAAAAAATCCTGATAGACACTAAAAACATATTTCTACTGCACCAACTACCGATTTTTTCTCCTCCTCCTCCCTTTCTGAGACCTTTAATAAATATCTTATGCTACAGCAAGTCTTTGAAAGTTTCCTGCTCTTTCCAAATACGAACCTGCATTAGAATTCCACCCCAGGTGGTAATTTCGCTCCAGGGACTGTTTGCCAACGTACATGTTTTGTTTTCATTGAATGAGTCATAGAGAATCTAACTCATAGAAGTCTGCGAAAGTAATTAACGAAAGCAAATTGAGGAACAAGAGATAGAAGTTAAACAATCATGGCTGTTGATTTGGATAAAAAAAAAATCTATTTCCTGAAATACATCGTTCGAGCATTACGATAATCCATTTATAATTACAAATTGTTTAGACAGAGCAAATGTGATAGAAATCATCCATTAATTAAAAGAGAATAAACGGAGAAATATAAGCGGAGTTCTTTTAAGAAGGAATCTGAACATAAAATAATATTCTTTGTATCACACACACACACTTAAAAAAACCGAATCGAAGATCAATATTGAATTGTTCTACTTTGCATATACTGCTGCCAAAAGGCAAAGCGTGCATTTTATTAATTAATAACAATTATACACTGAAAAATACGTTACTATGAATAGCCGAAATCAGTTTTTATGCATAATTACTTCTAAAAATGTGATATACTTACAAATATCGATAATTTCAAGTCCTTACCAGTGATAAAAATGTGGACCGTTTTCTTCAATCCAATATTATCCTCAACATTGCCAGAAGTCCTGTTTGTTTTATTATTGAAATATTTGATCTTTTTGCGATTTCATCAGAATAGTTACTGTTATTTGTGCAGCACGAACGGGTTTTAAATAAAAGTTGCAGTAAATAGCCGAATTAAAATTTTAATCCGTGTCTTTCCTAAGTGCGTAGTGAGAATCAGTTATTATTGGTAAGAATGCAGAATTACGGATGTTCGTAGATATTACGCATTTTTATTGGTAAGTACGTGTAAAAAAAAAGGATTTCGGTTGTTTATGATTACATATTTAAATATGCTGAAAATAAAAAGATTTCTACTAAGATTGGTTTGATTTGAATAAAGGCTGCAAAAAAACTTAGAACATATTTTAATACAGGAAAAAATGTCGCCATTTTCATATCAATTCGTGACGTTGTTGCATATATATATATTCTTATATTATACAGAATCTTCAAACTTAAAAATACAAAAAAGGATTTTTTTTTTTTTTACTTTAATATGTAATGAGCATTACAGTACAGAAAAATAAGTATGAAGAACATTTATACAAGAAAAAACAACGTTTTGACTCGACCAGAAATTAGTGTATGCCATTTCTATCGGATAACGAAGAGAAAACGTAAAAGCAGAGCATTTCCTATTCGAAAAAAAAATGTCCTGAACTTAGATTCTATTCCGTAACATCAAGCGAAGTCACTCAG